TGTGATTACTTGTTGTTGATTTCCCAGCGCTGCCAGGGCCTGGTTTTTGCACTAAGAACTTAAGTGAGAACACAAGGAACGTGAACCTGCATCCCTCGCTGATTACACTACACAACACACACACACACACACACAAACGTGTACGTCGTATACCGTACCGACTACTAACTTAACCTTCTGTAACTAATTTTAAGCATCCTATCAAGAGTTTCTAACTTGCAATATAGAGTAGGCTCCAGATAGATTTCTAAGACAGATTATCATGTAAAGCTCACTTCTTGCTCTTGAATAAAACTACAGAGCCTGTGATCATACTGAGCTTAAAAGGTCCGAAAACACGTTTAAAGGAAACTCCACCAATTTATTATTGATGTCTAATAACATCATCGGACTCACTACGGACAGTATAAGGCTTAAAGTATTACAACTGATGCAGCAGCAGAACCAGAGATATCATCTCTTTTATTCCACTAATTCTTCTTTGTCAAAACTTGCTGTCTACATTACCCACAATGCAACTTGACCAGAGGCAGCTGGGTCAGAGTTTCAGGTGCGTTATGCTAGTAGCAGCTAATATATCTTCGAGCAGAGATGAGGAGGTGAGGTCTGGTAAGCTCTTCACACCCCCAGATCTTTTTCATTTTCAAACATGTGCAGCTCCCTCTGGAGCCACAAAAGGCTTTCTACAACTCCTTTCACATATGCAGTCGTTCTCCACCTGGAAACACACTTTGATATGTAAAATCAGTGGAGTGTTCCGATGGATCACGAAATCCATTTTCAACTCCTTTTAATTCATGTGAGGTGTGTATGTAGCCCGCCTGTATTCACCCAAAACGGACAGCTAGCTGTAGCTGTTAGCTGGCTAACTTTTCCTTTTTTTCCTCTTTGTCGTATATGAAGTCCAACAGCTCTGGAAAACTGCAGAGTTTTTGCAATTTTTGAATCGTTTTCAGCTCCTTTTGGCTAAATTACCACGTCCTTAAACAAATCCACATCTGTGTCCTTATGCCTTCTTCCAGTAGAGACAGAAAAATAACTCAGGCAGACAAATCCATGTCTGTCAGTGTCCACACGTGATTTTCTGTTGACTTGATGTAATCTTGCCGCCTGTAACCCTCCCTTCGTGTTCAGTCTGAACACACCTTTAGGCTATTTACTTACAAATAATGTAAACTTTACTACAGAACATATTGCCAACGCATACTGACTGTGTTTTTCAACCCTCCCAGGCAGCCGCTTTCATGTCAGCACTGAATGAAAATCAACGTGCAGGGACTTGGAGCTCGTTTGAGCGAGGCGATCCGTCACTGTGAACAAACATCACGTCTGCTTTTGTTGTCAGAGTTGCATTATTGTTGCGGTGTTCAGACTCTTTGCATCAATCTGTATTTACGCCTGGCTCCATTTATGCTCTGCAAGAAACCAATGGATGCCTGGGAGGGAGGAAAACACATTAAAAGGTCTGAAACAGCCCAGCATGCTTGAAAATACAGTAAAGTCACACACCTGTGATTTATAGTGAATGCTTTCATATTTAAAGATGAGATCTCGAGGGTTGTGCATGGAGAGGTGTTGCAACAGTCTACTGTTCGTTTTGTTTTGTGATACCACCGGGCTAATGTTGATGATGGATCCAAAATACATAAAGCTGTTCATCATTTGGACAGGACACAACAAGTCAATCAAAAGAGTACAAAGAGTATCTGACTGTAGTGAATGTGCTGGTTCATATGTTTTACCAAACTCCACCGTACAGAGGAATGTAATAACATTTTCTATTAAAAACTTTACAGATACCGCTTGCATCCATTATATCAAATATAGGAAGAAGGACCCTAATCTTCACCAAGGTGGAAGGAAGCTGTGTCTGGGTCTTAGCTGGGCGTAGAGACAGCATTCATGTTCAGACCAACAGGTAAAAGTACACAGCCTTCCTCTTCTAAATGCAACCAGCTTGTCTCTAACTGTGTCTGTCTGCTGTTCGGTGCTGGGCTTTTTAGAGCTTTATCACTAAAAACAGCTCTGAGAGCGGTGAGTGAACCAAAACAATGAAGCTGTGGCCGAAACTCGCTGTAAATCTCCATAAAGCCGAGGAGAGGTTCAGGTTCAGGTGATAATTCTCTGTAGGTTCCTCAGTACGAGCAACCACCAATCACAGTGTTCACATTATTTCTTACATTGTTATTATAAAATATTGATTATAGACACTTCAGGGACTTGTTGTTGAAGCTCAGAATTACATTTTGCCACTTTTAAACGATTTGCAATATATGACAATGTGCAGCTTCTGGAAGAGCTTTGGAGCCATGAGGAGGCGAACCAGAGACATAGAAGTCTCTGCCACAGAACAACCCATGACTGTTTGAATCAGACTGAACTTACAGGTTAATGGTGAACAAGGTGGTTATCTGAAGATGGTTTCTAAGTTTTTAA